TTTCTGGTTTCCGTGACAAATACCACCAACTGTTCTGAAATGTTGCGTATGGCCCACCGCACGCTGCGCGCGCAATCGTTTAACGAAGTGGTCCCTGGGTTTCCATCTTCAACGGCGGCACCGTTTAGTCCCAGGTGGCTACCCGCAATATTGGATTACGTGTTTCAAATTGCGTTGAAAATGAGCGAGCTGGGGGGTACTCTACCAAGCTTCATGCCGCGCGATGGAGGGCCTGCAAAGCCTTGGCGTGGCAAGCAACTTTCCATAATCGCACACACCCCACTCACACAAAGTTCACAGTTCAAGCCACTCACGAATCTTGTCTTTTATAGCGCAGTACAACGCGAGCGGTCCATTCACCTCGCTTCGTCAAGTCACGTGCATGTTCAGGACGCCAGAGGCAAGCTTCCCCCAAGCCCGCACCGGCTGGCCCTGAGCCATGTTGTAAGACGACGGGGCGACGCAGTCCGCATACAACGCGTCACTGTTGTCAGACTTTCTCCACGCATGTGACCCTAGAGACCTGCGCACTGTGTGTTCGTGTTCATCGGCGGTCCTGTCCAAATAGTATGTGGTTCCATCCACGTAGGCCCACCTCTCTAGCGTGGTCTGGTGCTTCCGCTTCACGCTCTGACAGTAGGCCACCCGAGCGGCCCGATGCTGGGCAACCACAATCGTCTTGTTGCGGCGCCTGAGCCACGCGAGGTCGGCCTCGGCAAGGCGATCTTCCACGAGCGTGTCAGACAGCGTCCTCAGGAACGGGAACTGCTTCTTCAAACGGCTCACGGTCACTTTCGTCTTGCCTCGGTTGGCCACCGCCCACTTCACGACGTCCCTGTCCTGCTTCTCGGTAGTCTTGCGGGGGGCTCCTGACCCTGCGTCCCTCTCTCCGCGCCACTTAGGGTTCTCCTGCAACTTCTTCATGCAGTTCGATATTGCCGTCTCCGAAAATGATGTTTTCCCGTCTGCCTTCTTCAAGCGTTGGGCTATGCTCGTGCACCCCAGACCATGCTCCATGTGGGCCTTCACTTGCCAAACTTCAAAGGGAGACAACTGATACGAGGCCATGGTGGACGGCAATGCCTCTTGGAGGCAACAACTCGCAGATGAAGAAGCCTTGAGCCAAAACGGCTACGGACCCCAAACACCTGCTCTCGGCGAGGTCACTCATCCTGCGCACATGATCGACCCGCGGATGTTTCCGCGGGCGCATGTCGGGGGGCGTTAAGGACGCGTTGTCGTCGCCGTCGCCGCCGACGTCGCCGCCGTCGTCGCCGCAGACACCCGGTAGGTTAGGTTTGGTGGTGAGCGGCGTTGACCTCAGCCAGCACCACACTTCGCCCGGGGCACTGGCCGCCCCCCAGTCAGCGAAAGGGAAAGCGCGGCTGAGGCGTACCATGTGCCAGACCCCCTGCGGGCTCCTACTGCGGTCCGCCGCCGTCCTTCTTTGCTGCGTCGGCGTTGGAAGACTCGACCTGGTGTGCAAGTGCCTGGACCTTCTCCCTCGCAGCAGTGTCCTTGGGCAGCTCTGAGTGGTGAACGCCCGCAGCTTTCGCTGCCCTCCGTATTGCTTGAACCAGCTTCGCACGATTGTCCGAAGACATCGCTGGGGCCGAAATGACTACGGATGCGAACGCTGAGGACATCGCAAAACGAACCATTTTTTGAACCACCACCTGGATTAAAAAGTTGAGATCGGAGCTACACCGAAAGAACCGCATCCTGGTATTCGTCCGTCGTTCGGCTTACGAGCCGCGACTTTCGATCGGGACTGGATCCTGGGAAGTCGATGGTCGCTGTTCGACCGGACCTCTATCCTCGACCCTCGAAGTATCTTGGGGCCCTCGATCCTCGAGCCTCGATCGAACCACGATCATGGATGTTCGATCGGCCAGGCATTCTGGAGCCTGGAGTGTCGATCAAGCCTGGAACATCGGTTCTCGATCGTCGCTCTTCGATCGGCCATCCAGCGTCGAACTTCGACGGATCGTGGCCGCTCGATCCTGGCTCCTCGTTGTCCGAACGGCCCTGGATCCTCGACCCTCGATCTCCGACCCTCAATCGCTAGGTGGTTGTCGAACTTTGATCGGCCGTGGAACCCAAAGCCTCGTTTCCGATCGATATGGGTTCGCTCTTCCACAGTCGGTCCTGGGTCATCGATCGTGTATCCTCGATCATCGATCCTGGATCGTCGATTCTTGACCGTACATCCTGGGTCAACCGCGTCGCCCAAATTGGAAAACCCTGGGGATCGAACCTCCCACAGTGGGGCCCGACCCGACGCCGACCTCAAGATGGCCTCAGATGACTCCAAGACAAACCTGTGAACCGAACGATGCAACGGCCATCCCTGCGGACATCCGCCCAGGCGCAGATAGGACCGCGCGCGCGAGGCCGCGGCAACTGGAATCTGACTTGCACGGATAGCATGCGACACGGAACAATCAAATACTGTGATGAAATAGGAGAGAAGTGGGAAGAGGAATAGTCCGCGTCGTCTTGTGTGCGCGTAACAATGAGACCAGAAACTCGGATGTCAGGAAAGTCTCCTACCTCAAAGCGAAATCGTCCGTTTTTCTGGTGGCATGAGAATTCGACAAAAAGTAATGTGTTGAGAAGTACCATGCTAAATCGCCACTGTCCTGGCGCCTCAAACGGGACGGTATTTTTTTGAGGAAGTCCCACGCGGAATCGCCACTTTCCGGTGGCATGGCAGAATTTCCGGTCGCCCTGGAAGGCGACCGGAAATTTTTTTGAGGAAGTCCTAGGCAGAATCTCACTTTCCGGTCGGAGCCCCATTTGGCCTGTATAATATTAAAAAGGATGATGGAGGCACCGGAAACTCCGGAATTGAGCACAAATCCAACCTTGTCCCCGGGGCCCCTCTGCCCTAACGGGAGTCCCAACCACGTTCTACCTCGGCCCCTGCGGTCTCCGCTTTTTAATCCAGGGGGTTGTCCACCGCCAGCAGGCCGAAGCACGTCTGATGTGTTGATTTTTTCGCGTGCTCCACGTGGCCGAACGCATCATTGGTATACGACTGAAGCACATTTACCACTTCGTCCGAGATCCGGGCGGGTTGGACCGCAGGCAATCCTCTGCCCTTTCTTTCTGGTTCGTTGACAAATACCACAACTGTTCTGACCTGTGCGTATTGGCCCATCGCACTGCCGCGCGCAATCGTTTCACGAAGTGGTCCCTGGTTTCCATCTCAACGGGGCAAGTTTCGCCCAGGTGCTCCCGCAATATAGCCCAAGCATTTTCAATTGCGTTGAAATCTTGGGACACTTTCGGGTACTCTTCCACCAGCTTCTTGCCGCTGCGATTGAGGGCCTGCAAAGCCTCTGGCGTGCGCAAGCACCTTTCATAATCGCACACCACTAATTCACAGTTCAAGCTCCACTCATCGAACTTGTCTTCTATCAGCTCCACGTACACGGAGCGGTCCATCACCTCGCCTTCGTCAAGCACGTGTATGTTCAGGACGCCAGAGGCAAGCACCCCCCAAACCCGCACCGGCTGGCCCTGAGCCTTGTTGTAAGACGACGGGGCGACGCAGTCCGCATACAACGCGTCACTGTTGTCAGACTTTCTCCACGCATGTGACCCTAGAGACCTGCGCACTGTGTGTTCGTGTTCATCGGCGGTCCTGTCCAAATAGTACGTGGTTCCATCCACGTAGGCCCACCTCTCTAGCGTGGCCTGGTGCTTCCGCTTCACGCTCTGACAGTAGGCCACCCGAGCGGCCCGATGCTGGGCAACCACAATCGTCTTGTTGCGGCGCCTGAGCCACGCGAGGTCGGCCTCGGCAAGGCGATCTTCCACGAGCGTGTCAGACAGCTTCCTCAGGAACGGGAACTGCTTCAAACGGCTCACGGTCACTTTCGTCTTGCCTCGGTTGGCCACCGCCCACTTCACGACGTCCCTGTCCTGCTTCTCGGTAGTCTTGCGGGGGGCTCCTGACCCTGCGCCCCTCTCTCCGCGCCACTTAGGGTTCTCCTGCAACTTCTTCATGCAGTTCGATATTGCCGTCTCCGAAAATGATGTTTTCCCGTCTGCCTTCTTCAAGCGTTGGGCTATGCTCGTGCACCCCAGACCATGCTCCATGTGGGCCTTCACTTGCCCAACTTCAATGGGAGACAACTGATACGAGGCCATGGTGGACGGCAATGCCCCTTGGAGGCAACAACTCGCAGATGAAGAAGCCTTGAGCCAAAACGGCTACGGACCCCAAACACATGCTCTCGGCGAGGTCACTCATCCTGCGCACATGATCGACCCGCGGATGTTTCCGCGGGCGCATGTCGGGGGGCGTTAAGGACGCGTTGTCGTCGCCGTCACCGCCGACGTCGCCGCCGTCGTCGCCGCAGACACCCGGTAGGTTAGGTTTGGTTGTGAGCGGCGTTGACCTCAGCCAGCACCACACTTCGCCCGGGGCACTGGCCGCCCCCCAGTCCGCGAAAGGGAAAGCGCGGCTGAGGCGTACCATGTGCCAGACCCCCTGCGGGCTCCTACTGCGGTCCGCCGCCGACCTTCTTTGCTGCGTCGGCGTTTGGAAGACTCGACCTGTTGCAGTCCTGGACCTTCTCCCTCGCAAGCAGTGTCCCTTGGGCAGCCTGAGTGGTGAACGCCCGCAGCTTTTCGCTGCCTCTCGTATTGCTTGAACCACTTCGCAACGATTGTCCGAAACATCGCCGTAAGCCGAAATGACAACCGGATGCGACGTTGAGCACCAATCGCAAAAAAAAAAAAAAAAACGAACCATTTGTTGAACTCCACCGCCAGCAGGCCGAAGCACGTCTGATGTGTTGATTTGTTCGCATGCTCCACGTGGCCGAACGCATCATTGGTCTACGACTGAAGCACATTTACCACTTCGTCCGAGATCCGGGCGGGTTGGACCGCAGGCAATCCTCTGCCTTTTCTTTCTGGTTCGTTGACAAATACCACAACTGTTCTGACCTGTGCGTATTGGCCCATCGCACTGCCGCGCGCAATCGTTACACGAAGTGGTCCCTGGTTTCCATATCAACGGGGCAAGTTTCGTCCAGGTGCTCCCGCAATATAGCCCAAGCATTTTCAATTGCGTTGAAATCTTGGGACACTTTCGGGTACTCTTCCACCAGCTTCATGCCGCTGCGATTGAGGGCCTGCAAAGCCTCTGGCGTGCGCAAGCTCCTTTCATAATCGCACACCACAAATTCACAGTTCAAGCTCCACTCATCGAACTTGTCTTCTATCAGCTCCACGTACACGGAGCGGTCCATCACCTCGCCTTCGTCAAGCACGTGTATGTTCAGGACGCCAGAGGCAAGCATCCCCCAGACCCGCACCGGCTGGCCCTGAGCCTTGTTGTAAGACGACGGGCCGACGCAGTCCGCATACAACGCGTCACTGTTGTCAGACTTTCTCCACACATGTGACCCTAGAGACCTGCGCACTGTGTGTTCGTGTTCATCGGCGGTCCTGTCCAAATAGTACGTGGTTCCATCCACGTAGGCCCACCTCTCTAGCGTGGTCTGGTGCTTCCGCTTCACGCTCTGACAGTAGGCCACCCGAGCGGCCCGTTGCTGGGCAACCACAATCGTCTTGTTGCGGCGCCTGAGCCACGCGAGGTCGGCTCGGCAAGCGATCTTCCACGCGTGTCAGACAGCTTCCTCAGAACGGGAAACTGCTTCTCACACGTCACGGTCCTTTCGTCTTGCCTCGGTTGGCCACGCCCACATTCAACGACATCCCCTGTCCTTCTTCTCGGTAGTCTTGCGGGGGGTTCCTGGGCCCTGCGTCCTCTCTCTCTGCGCCACTTTTTTTTTTTTTTTTTTTTTTTTTTACGTTCTCCTGCACTTCTTCCCATGCAGTTCGATATTTGCCGTCCTCCCGAAATGAATGTTCTCCCGTCTGCTTCTCAAGCGTTGGCTATGCCGTGCACCCCAGACCATGCTCCATGTGTGCCTTCACTTGCCCAACTGGCCTTCACTTGCCCAACGTCAAAGGGAGAACAACTGATACGAGGCCCCAGGTGGACTGCAATGCCTCTTGGAGGCAACAACTCGCAGATGAAAGAAGGCCCTTGAGCCAAAACGGCTACGGGACCCCAAACACATGCTCTCGGCGAGGTTCACTCATCCTGCGCGACATGAAATCGACCCGCGGATGTTTCCGCGGGCGCATGTCGGGGGGCGTTAAGGACGCGTTGTCGTCGCCGTCGCCGCCGACGTCGCCGCCGTCGTCGCCGCATACACCCGGTAGGTTAGGTTTGGTTGTGAGCGGCGTTGACCTCAGCCAGCACCACACTTCGCCCGGGGCACTGGCCGCCCCCCAGTCAGCGAAAGGGAAAGCGCGGCTGAGGCGTTCCATGTGCCAGACCCCCTGCGGGCTCCTACTGCGGTCCGCCGCCGACCTTTTTTGCTGCGTCGGCGTTGGAAGACTCGACCTGGTGTGCAAGTGCCTGGACCTTCTCCCTCGCAGCAGTGTCCTTGGGCAGCTCTGAGTGGTGAACGCCCGCAGCTTTCGCTGCCCTCCGTATTGCTTGAACCAGCTTCGCGCGATTGTCCGAAGACATCGCTGGAGCCGAAATGACTACGGATGCGAACGTTGAGGACATCGCAAAACGAACCATTTTTTGAACTCCACCGCCAGCAGGCCGAAGCACGTCTGATGTGTTGATTTGTTCGCATGCTCCACGTGGCCGAACGCATCATTGGTCTACGACTGAAGCACTTTTACCACTTCGTCCGAGATCCGGGCGGGTTGGACCGCAGGCAATCCTCTGCCCTTTCTTTCTGGTTCGTTGACAAATACCACAACTGTTCTGACCTGTGCGTATTGGCCCATCGCACTGCCGCGCGCAATCGTTTCACGAAGTGGTCCCTGGTTTCCATCTCAACGGGGCAAGTTTCGCCCAGGTGCTCCCGCAATACAGCCCAAGCATTCTCAATTGCGTTGAAATCTTGGGACACTTTCGGGTACTCTTCCACCAGCTTCTTGCCGCTGCGATTGAGGGCCTGCAAAGCCTCTGGCGTGCGCAAGCAACCTTTCAATAATCGCACACCACAAAATCACACAGTTTCCAACCTCCACTCATCGACTTGGTCCTTCTATCAGCTCCACGTCACGGAGCGGTCCATCACCTCGCCTTCGTCAAGCACGTGCATGTTCAGGACGCCAGAGGCAAGCATCCCCCAAACCCGCACCGGCTGGCCCTGAGCCTTGTTGTAAGACGACGGGGCGACGCAGTCCGCATACAACGCGTCACTGTTGTCAGACTTTCTCCACGCATGTGACCCTAGAGAACCCTGCGCACTGTGTGTTCGTGTTCATCGGCGGTCCTGTCCAAATAGTACGTGGTTCCATCCACGTAGGCCCACCTCTCTAGCGTGGTCTGGTGCTTCCGCTTCACGCTCTGACTGTAGGCCACCCGAGCGGCCCGATGCTGGGCAACCACAATCGTCTTGTTGCGGCGCCTGAACCACGCGAGGTCGGCCTCGCAAGCGATCTTCCCACGAGCGTGTCAGACCGCTTCCTCAGGAAACGGGAAACTGCTTCAACACGGCTCACGGTCACTTTCGTCTTGCCTCGGTTGGCCACCGCCCACTTCACGACGTCCCTGTCCTGCTTCTCGGTAGTCTTGCGGGGGGCTCCTGACCCTGCGTCCCTCTCTCCGCGCCACTTAGGGTTCTCCTGCAACTTCTTCATGCTGTTCGATATTGCCGTCTCCGAAAATGATGTTTTCCCGTCTGCCTTCTTCAAGCGATGGGCTATGCTCGTGCACCCCAGACCATGCTCCATGTGGGCCTTCACTTGCCCAACTTCAAAGGGAGACAACTGATACGAGGCCATGGTGGACGGCAATGCTCTCTGGAGGCCACAACTCGCAGATGAAGAAGTCCTTTGATCCAAAACGGCTACCGGCCCCCAAACACATGCTCTCGGCGAGGTCACATCATCCTGCGCACTGCTCGACCCCGCGGGAATGTTTCCGCGGGCGCATGTCGGGGGGCGTTAAGGACGCGTTGTCGTCGCCGTCGCCGCCGACGTCGCCGCCGTCGTCGCCGCAGACACCCGGTAGGTTAGGTTTGGTTGTGAGCGGCGTTGACCTCAGCCAGCACCGCACTTCGCCCGGGGCACTGGCCGCCCCCCAGTCAGCGAAAGGGAAAGCGCGGCTGAGGCGTACCATGTGCCAGACCCCCTGCGGGCTCCTACTGCGGTCCGCCGCCGACCTTCTTTGCTGCGTCGGCGTTGGAAGACTCGACCTGGTGTGCAAGTGCCTGGACCTTCTCCCTCGCAGCAGTGTCCTTGGGCAGCTCTGAGTGGTGAACGCCCGCAGCTTTTGCTGCCCTCCGTATTGCTTGAACCAGCTTCGCACGATTGTCCGAAGACATCGCTGGAGCCGAAATGACTACGGATGCGAACGTTGAGGACATCGCAAAACGAACCATTTTTTGAACCACCCCCTGGATTAAAAAGTTGAGATCGGAGCTACACCGAAAGTGCCGCATCCTGGTATTCGTCCGTCGTTCGGCTTTCGAGCCGCGACTTTCGATCGGGACTGGATCCTGGGAAGTCGATGGTCGCTGTTCGACCGGACCTCAATCCTCGACCCTCGAAGTATCTGGGGCCCTCGATCCTCGATCCTCGAGCCTCGATCGAACCTCGATCATGGATGTTCGATCGGCCAGGCATTCTGGAGCCTGCAGTTTCGATCAAGCCTGGAACATCGGTTCTCGATCGTCGCTCTTCGATCGGCCATCCAGCGTCGAATTTCGACGGATCGTGGCCGCTCGATCCTGGCTCCTCGATGTCCGAACGGCCCTGGATCCTCGACCCTCGCTCTCCGACCCTCAATCGCTAGGTGGTTGTCGAACTTTGATCGGCCGTGGAACCCAAAGCCTCGTTTCCGATCGATATGGGTTCGCTCTTCCACAGTCGGTCCTGGGTCATCGATCGTGTATCCTCGATCATCGATCCTGGATCGTCGATTCTGGACCGTACATCCTGGGTCAACCGCGTCGCCCCAAAATGACCCTGGGATCGAACCTCCCACAGGGGGGCCTGCGACCCGACGCGACCTCAAGATGGCCTCAAGATGACTCCAAGACAAACCTGTGAACCGAACGATGCAACGGCCATCCCTGCGGACATCCGCCCAGGCGCAGATAGGACCGCGCGCGCGAGGCTGTGGCAACTGGAATCTGACTTGCACGGAGAGCATGCGACACGGAACAATCCAATACTGTAATGATAAGAGGAGAGAGTGGGAAGAGGAATAGGTCCGCGGCGTCTGTGTGAGCGTACATGAGACCAGAAACTCGAATGTCAGGAAGTCTCAAGCGAAATCGTCGTTTTCTGGTGGCATGAGATGCGACAAAAAGTAATGTGTGAGGAAGTCCCACGCGAAATCGCCACTGTCTGGCGGCCTCAAAAGGGACCGGAATATTTTTTTGAGGAAGTCCCACGCGGAATCGCCACTTTCCGGTGGCATGGCAGAATTTCCGGTCGCCCTGGAAGGCGACCGGAAACTTTTTTTGAGGAAGTCCTAGGCAGAATCCCACTTTCCGGTCGGAGCCCCATTTGGCCTTTATAATATTAAAAGGGATGATGGAGGCACCGGAAACTCCGGAATTGGCAACAAATCCAACATTGTCCCGGGGCCCCGCTGCCTAACGGGAGGCAAACCACGTCTACCTCGGCCCCTGCGGTCTCCACTTTTTAATCCAGGGGGTTGTAGGACGTGAAAGCGGTATTTGGCATCGGCCCCAGATGTTGGTCTTCTAGAAGCAGGTCGGCTTGGCCCTCCAAGGATCGCTCCTCGAGCAAGTCATCATTGCTGTACCTCGCAGGGCCGCCCTGCACAGGCGAGGGAGGGGAGGAGGAGGAGGAGGAGGAGGAGGAGGAGGAGGAGGAGGAGGAGGAGGAGAGCAGGGAAGGAGGAGGGGAGGAGGGGAGGAGGTGAAGAGGACGAGGAGGAAAAAGCCGACGTGTTGTTGCTGTTGCTGTTGCTGTTGTGGTTGTGGTTGTTGTTATTGTTGTCGCTGCTGTTGTTGCCGTCTTCTTTGTCGCCGTCGTCGCGCACGGGCGCTCGGCGCGGGGTGTAGAGACTCCCCCCGCGCCACAGTCCGCAACGTCAGCAACGCCCGCAACGTCCGCAACGTCGTCGTCGTCGTCGTCGTCGTCGTCGTCGTCGTCGTCGTCGTCGTCGTCGTCGTCGTCGTAGTCAATGTCGTCGTCGTCCAGCTCTTCGCCCAGGGTCGTGCCTCGACGAGGAACAAATCGGACGGGGATAAACATCGAACGGGGATACATCGGGAATCTCTGAGGCCTGGCGGCTCTGGAGAATGTCTCGGGCGCCGCGGCCTTCCCAGGGCGTTCTGGAACGCTGTAGGAGCGTTCCGGTACGCTCTGGAACGGATTTACCTTCGTCCTAGCCTTAGGTCGGGCATGTCCTCCTGCAGGCGGATCTCGGTTGAAAAAGAATACATGGCCCAAAAATGATCAACCATAGCCCCAAGATCACCGACAAAATCGTCACCAAACTATTGTTGTTACCATTCTCGCATACTCCTCCTGTAGAGGGACATGCCCGACTTCATCCTAGCCTTGTG